CAGTCTTCAAATCCCAATTGGCAGGCCTAGGGGTTGGCTTTCCCTCTTCTGTCCCGCTCTGGTCATCTCCGCTCACACCCTGACCCCGGCCGCACGCGCCGCTCTCTCCAGCGCCTTCGTCGCGGCGCAGTGAAAGGTGCGAGCGTCGGGGGGCTGCAGCGGAGCGCGCAGTCTCCTCGGTGGAGAAGCAACGAGCGCAACTGACTCCGGACAGCGGTACCAGGGACCGTCCCGAGTTTCTTCTTTATTTTCTTTTCCGCTTTCTTTTTTTTATCTCCACCCCAGGGCCCAGGATGGATACTTCTTAAATAAGTAGGATTTAAAATAGAAAGATCAAAGAATTAAAAATTACTGTACTTCTCCCCGTCGGGGAATCGAACCCCGGTCTCCCGCGTGACAGGCGGGGATACTCACCACTATACTAACGAGGAGGAAGGTTAATCGCGGCCTTTCCTGATCCTTGATCTGATTCTCTCATCCAACTCAGCGTGCTGAAGTGAGGTTCCTGGGGCTTCTGCCCTTCGGCCACTGAGAAATATTGACCTGAAACCTATGCACGCTCTAAACCACAACTGAGCGCGAATCCCCAGAAAGGCAGAAAAGAGCATGAGTGACCGACACGGAGGCCTCCAAGGCTGCAGAGACCTGAGTTCTGAGTCCCTGGAATCTCGCAAAACCACCCTCGAATAGGTCCCACCTCTTTTCATTGCTATCCACATATATAGGTTGATCGGCATCAATCCGACTGAAAGTAGGCTCTCGTGGTCGTGAAGAGGAACCAAGCAGGAAGAAGGAGCAGGCCCTGTGTCCTGCCCGATCAAGTCCCGATGTGTCTGCGCTCTTCCTAGCACGGCAAGGATTGCATATCGTGAGCTTCTTCCTGCCACCCGGGTGTCCACTCAGAACAAAAGTGGTCTCTGCCCATCTGCTTCAAAGCCTCCTCAGTGCCATTCAAATACCAAGGTGCCTTGGGGTGGTGTAGTCTCCACAAAACTCAAAGCAGGGCTCGTCCGGGATTTGAACCCGGGACCTCTCGCACCCGAAGCGAGAATCATACCCCTAGACCAACGAGCCCACGCAGAGCGTCGGCTGCGGACGCCTTTAGAGGTCGTACAGGGCTTGCTTCAATCCTAGAACTACAAGTCTCGGCGGAACTGCCTTGGAGGGCGATCAGGGACCGACCCTCCACCCCGACGCTGAACACTCTGGTACAGGGGTCTGGGTATCTCTCTCCGCTCGGGGTCCGCGAGCTCGACTCTTCCCAGGAAATCACATCAGGGAAGTGGAAAAGAGTGGTTTCGGTCTCATTCCCCGGCAGCCCTCCAAGACTGCCTTGAGCACCCGCGTTCTCGCTCCCACCAGTCACTGTCTCGCCGCCGTTCCATAACTTGGGATCTCGACTCTTCCTGCCTCGGCCCGCCGTCCTCGGACCCAGAGCCCCGATGCAGAGCTTTAAAGATAGTGGTGGAGTTGCCTGGTTGGGGATAAATAATAAGCCCTGAAATCCCTAGGTGAACACCAGCCCCTTTTTCTGTCCCTGCATCTGTCTATCCTCCTGGAGTGATGGGCAAGACTAGCCTCAGGCTAGACCTTTTCTTTAGTAACTCCCTGTCTTTCCAGATCGTGTGGTGGTGGAACAATTCCTGGGGCCAAGAAGACCCAAGAAAGAGGCGTCAATGAGATTACTAGCTGGCGGGGTGGGGTAGGTAGGGGAATCGGCTCTCCAACCTGTGTGAGTGGGGTGGGGCGTCAGGCCTGGACGGTCCCTGACACCTAACACCCATAACCAGCATCGGCCCCAGGACTTCCCGCTTTTAAGATCAGGATACTCCTACCCTTCTGTCCAGCTTCCACTCTCCAGTTCTCTCCTCGGTGCGACCGGGAAGGAGACCCTCTTACCTGCCACGTAAGACTCCCAGAAGGTAAGGGCCTCCTTGGTATAGCGCACAGCCAGCAGATACAGACGGACTGCATATTACACTCACTATGCTCTCACCTGTGGACTGCTGAGAGTCCTGGCAGGACCTGGTGGTTCAGCTGTAGGCCATGCTTTCTGCCTTCCCTCAGCTCAGTACCAGCTCTGGCGAGTCTTCCCAGCAGGATTCTGACCTGTTCAACACTGGACACCCCGGCACCATCTCTGGGCTGAACCATCTCGTTCCATACCCCAGTTGTGTAATTTGTGTGGTCAGGACCTTCCTAAATATCAATCCGCAGATACTTTGGTGGGGGTCAACTTCAATGAAGGGTTCACCTTTTTTCTTCTTTCCCAGGTGTCTTGGGCCAGTGGACGGTGTCCAGACCTTTTGCCTACCTTTCAAGGAGGTTTAGGCCCTGCCAACGGCCTACAGATCCCACATTTTGCCTCCTTCTCGACAGCATTTACTTCTACCCTCACCAGCCTAGCTTTAGTGCTCCACAAATGGGCCCTGCCCTTCCACAGTCTCTGAAGACTCCACCCGGAATGCGCTCTTCTCTACTGCCACCCTGTCCACGGGGTCCCAGCCCTTCAGCGCTCTCTTGCAAGAAACTAGATGGTGCTAAGCCAGACATCTATGCTAACGCCTAACACTGACTGCCAGCTTGTGGAGAATGGAGACAACTATAGGTGAAGGGCCTGGTACAGGAACTGCACATAGGAGATGCACACCCCCCCCCCAAGTTTAAATTAAAAAAAAAAATATATATATATATATATATATATATATATATATATATATATATATATCTCCCAAACCAAAAAAAGATATAATGAAGAATCAAACAAAAAAAGTAAGTCGGGTTCTACGGACTATCCTGGGGCTATGGCCTGGGGAGATGGAATGACCACCCTGGCTAGCCCACCAGAAACAGTGGGGTGTAGCATCAGCTGGGCAAAGGAAGGTGTAGGTTTCCTGGCCTTGTCACAGGTCCAATTTTGGAGCGACACCAGGGGACTGGCAAACTTGTCTCTGCGGGAAATCAGGATGCTCTGAGTGTGAAACTATATAACCCTTGCATCCTCTCCTCTAGTATAAAAACTGATAAATCCATTAGGGGATATGTATTCAGCGAAAAAACGGGAACAATTTCAGACTTGTAACTAAAGGCACCGCTGGGATTCGAACCCAGGATCTCCTGTTTACTAGACAGGCGCTTTAACCAACTAAGCCACGGCGCCAAAGTTAGCTAAGCTCTCTCGGATACTACACTATAGGAAAATATTGCTGAGTCTGGCTACATCAGTTTAAGATTTTTCTAAAATTAATTTTGATATATCAACTCGGTTTCGCGGCAAACATCTATCCATGGGATCCTTCCAGCTTTGAAAGAAGTAAATCAAAGATCTCAATTTTCTCCAAAAGTGCTCACTTGGGGGAGCTTCCCAGAATCAAGGATTACTGAGATGGAAGGATTTCTGAAGCACCGAATGTTTGATTTTGGGCTTATCGGGGAGAGGGATGGGGGTGAGGGTAATTTTTAAAAAATGACGACACGTAGTCGGCAGGATTCGAACCTGCGCGGGGAGACCCCAATGGATTTCTAGTCCATCGCCTTAACCACTCGGCCACGACTACATATGTGTATCCACACAGCTTGTCTGAAACCTTTCTTAGTTTCCATGCCCACCAGACGTTACCCCTTTTATTGTTTTAGGGTTCCAGGACTAGGAGACTGGCGAGTGCGAACACCAGAGCAAGTTAGAACTGGAAGCGACCTTCGTTCGTGACTCCGCCTCACTCTCCGCCTTTCTGGGATCCAGATCCTGGATCTTCCCCTTTCTCCCACCGGCCTCCAACAACGCGCTTCAAGGAAGATTACACGCGAAATCTGCCGGGAAACACTCCCTGTGCCCCAGCCCAGGTAGCACCCTTCCAAAGGTTGGAGTAAGCTAACAATTTGGGTTTTGAAAAGCAATCGGTCCTGTGTTTGCTGTCAGAAAGCAACTGGTTTCGGCAGAAACTTCCTGGTAACACAATGAGTGGAAGGAAAAAAAAGTACAACGCGAGTCACCTCGGTTTGCTGGCCCGTACGGGGATCGAACCCGCGACCTTGGCGTTATTAGCACCACGCTCTAACCAACTGAGCTAACCGGCCAGTGGTGTTTTAGGAGTATTAACTTTATCCCCAAATCCACATATCTAAACTACTAAATTATACAAGCACCACCAACTTTTCAGAAAATAAAATTTCATGTGGCACTAGTCATGCTCTAAAAGTTTCCCAACTACAAACTGGAAGTGATCTTTAAAAGGCCAGGAAAACCCTAACCCATGTTGCTCAATGGTTAGAGCTTCTGTTCTCAGACCCAAGGGTCTTGGGTTCCATTCCGTCAAAGGCACTACCTGGGTTGCATGTTTGAGGCAACCAATTGATGTTTCTTTCCCTCACTTTCTCCCTCTCCCTTCCCTCCCTCCCTCTCTAAAAATCAATGGAAAAACCAAAAGGCCAGAAAGGAATGTCCTCTGTATGGCTTTAAGAGGTGTGACTAGGTTCTACCTATTCACTGAGCAATGCACGAACACCCCCAATTAATTGATCCTGCAACCCCTAAGTCCGTGGTTTCTGACTGAGGAATTCCTACCAGTCTAATGGTGTGGATCAAGAATCTGCTTTAGGCTGGACCCATGGAAAAACCACATCACAGACCACTTTACTGGGGTTCCATAGTATAGGTTCCTTAAATGCCTCGCCTACTGTTGATGTTCCCTCCACCCCCTTATACCCACTTGTACTTCCCCAAAACTTTAGACCTGCATATTTTACTTCTTCCCCAGCCCAACCTTGCTGACTGAGACCACCGAGCCTCCAACTCCCCAATTTACTCCATTTTGGCCTGACTTTTGGTATCATTTCTTCTGTTGGACCAGAAGCTCTTAAAACCAGTTTTGGCATTGGTGGAAATGATGGTAAACAATAGGCTGGCTGACAGGTCAGGAGACGTGGATATCACAGATAGCACAAGTGTAAAACATCACTAGAGTTTTATTGCAGGCCAAGAGGCCTGTCACAAGCACCCCTACAAGGGGCAAGTCTTTTGTTCATCTAGCTCCTGCCACAAAGACAGCACCCAGGTGCTCAGGGCCACCTGTGAGTGCAGGTGCCTTGACCCCAACCAGAGAGGAAATATTAACAGTGCCATGAGTTACCTATTTCCACAATTTCTCCAAGGCAGGCCAGCACCAGAAAGAATATGGAGAAATTACAGTAGGGTAGCAGTTAATAAACACTGGGATCTGGGGTCCTAGTTCAATCACCAAGAAGGTAAGGGCCACAATAAGTGGGAGAAGTTGAGGCCCTGGCCTCAAGTGTTCCAGCAGGGCAGGAAGACCTTTCAGGCCATTGTTGCAGTTCAGGTTAGCTGGAGGAAGCAAATGCCCCCAGGGAGTTGGCATGCTTTGGCTCCTGGATAGAGAGACACAACAACTGGATCCTGGGATTCACATAAGTCAGGAGAGGGTGCTCCCCACATTGGAATCGCTGTAGCCTAGGAGGATCTGAAATAGGAAGAGAAGAAAATACATGTCCTATACATGTGGTTTTTAGTCCCCATCCACCATTCTCCTACCCGACTACAGAAATCCCTTACCAGGGGTTCCTCCTGGGACCCCTCTGTCTACACTGCCACCCTTCCATCCTTATTTCCTTACCTAAAGGGATATTCTTGGAGGGTTTCCTCTCGAGCTCAAAAGAAAGCACAATAGGGCGGAGGACAGAGAGACTGGTACATAGAGTCCGGAGGAAGAAGGTCAAGGGCTCATCAATCTTGGCTGAGTACTAGAAAGGGAAACTCAGGATTAGTCAGAACTCAAAACTTCTAAACACTCTATGAAACCCTCAGGAACCTGGATATCTGAACCCCACCTCCCAGCCACATCTCACCTCAGGTTGGGATCCAGGCCCTATAAATTGCAAGGCCACTTTCCCTGGCCCTCTGACAAACTCTAGGAGGGAGGCCCATTCACTAGGACACAGCCCTAGTGCTGCTGCCACATGATGATTCTTACAGGTCACCACAGCGTCGGCAGTCCCATCCTCCACCAGGAGCCTGGGGTTGGGGTAGGGCATGAGGAATAAAATCTCTCAGAGCAAACCCAGGTGCCAGTCACCTGAACCCAACATGCCTCCATCATCATTTCATCTTTAACTCATTTACCCTCACTCATTCATTCAAAAATATTTATCAAAGCAATTCCTAAAGCGGAAAATTATGTTAACACAGGGGTAGCACACAGGCAAAGTTGTGTAATAGGGAAGTAAATGGTGTCATGGGCGCCCACTTTGTGCTCTCACCTGATGCTGGCCTGACTTACAGGTGTCTGAGTGGGACAAGTAGAACCCTGCTGACTGCACCTTCCCTGGGATAAAGAAAGTGGTTGGAAAATCCTCTTTTTCCCATCACATCCCTCTGGCACCAAGCACCCAGCTCCCTCATACCTGGAGGAAGAGGCTGGTACAGTGAGCACACACCCAGAGGAGCTGAAGGCTGAAGACAGAAACAATATGACAAGAGGCAATGGCCTGGAATGGGACCTGGCCACCCTGTAGCAGTCCAGCCAGGTAGATGTGGGGCAGAGGAACACTAAGAGACAGAGAGAGACAGGTGTCAAAAAACAGTCAAAGGGGTTCTGAAGTCAGGATATGTCTGGGAGGACTCAGCAGGCATAGGGATGAAGTTAATAGCGGCTTCCACACTCTCCTGGAAGCCCCATGGTCTCCATTCTGATTTATGATCTCCAATGTCATCAATTATTTCTCAGGCTTGAACAAACAAAATGTTAGCCTGGAAAAGATATTTGCATTTTAGATTGAAAAGCCTTTAAGAGCCTAGAACACTACATCTTTCTGGGTAAAATGACAGACATTGGGCATTTTTGATTTGGGGCTCTGACTTATCACCTTCTGCTATGATTGGAGAAGACTGTAGTTATGGCAAAAAATTTCAGAGCCAGGAACATGTGTGGGATGCAGACATGAGGCTGTAAAGTTTGGGGGTCAGGGCCTGGGGCACTGACCTGACTGTGGTTTCTGGGGGAAAACTCAGGACCTGCACATAAGTGGATGACCGGAAGCAACAGTAAACATTGTGGGATCTGCAAGTGGAAGAGGAGGAGAAAGAAGTCATCTGAGGTCGGAGCTGGAACCCTTATCACAGGCTTAGCCATTGCCTTGAGAGAGGCACCCTAGCCCAGGCTCTATTACAGCAGAGGGAAGAGGCCTCACTGGTTTGGCTCAGTGTTTAGAGCATTGACCTGCGGATCAAAGCAATTCCCAGTCAAGGGCACATACCTGGGTTGCATGTTTGATCCCTCGCAATGGTTGGGGTTCTGCAGGAGGCAACCAATGGATGTCTCTCTCACATAGATGTCCACCCCCGCCCCTTCCCTTCCACTCTCTCTAAAATTCAAAGGAAGAAAATACCCTCAGGTGAGGACTTAAACATAATAAAAAATAGCCTGGCTGGTGTGGCTCAGTCGACCCATGCACCAAGAGGTCCTGGTTTGATTTCTGTTCAGGGCACATGCCCAGGTTGTGGGCCCAATCCCCAGTGGGGGGCATGCTGGTGGCGGCCAATCAATGTTCTCACTCATCAATGTTTCTATCTCACTCTCCCTCTCCCTTCCTCTCTAAAAAAAATCAATAAAAAAAACAAAAGTTTAACTGAACTTAAAAATAATAATGATAATAATAAAATTTTATTTATTTATTTTTAATTCTCATCTGAGGATATTTTTTACTTATCTTCAGGTAGAAAGAGAAATTTTATTTATTTATTTTTTTAATCATCACCTGAGGATATTTTTTTACTTATCTTCAGGTAGAGAGAGAGAGAGAGAGGGACAGAGAGAAACATTGACATGAAAGCGACACATTGACTGATTGCTTCCTACACGACTCCAACCAGGGTTGGGGACAAACCACAACAGAGGTATGTGCCCTTGGCTGGAATTGAACCTGGGACTCATTGGTCCGCGGGCCAATGCTCTACCGCTGAGCCAAACCAGCCAGGGCATAATAATAAAATTAAAAAAAAAAAAAAAAAATCAATGGAGCCCTGGCCAGTCTGGCTCAGCGGTTAGAGTATCAGCCTGCGGTCCTGAGAGACCTGGGTTCAGTTCCCGGTAAGGGCACGTACCTCGGTTGCAGTTTGTCCCCGGCCCTGGTTGGGTCGTGGGGGTGGCAGCCACTTGATGTGTCCCTTTCATGTTGTCGATGTTTCTCTCTCTCTTTCTTCCTCTCTCTCCCTCCCACTCTATCTGAACAAAAAAATGGAAAAATGTCCTCAGGTGAGGATAAAAAATAAAATAAAATCAATAGATCCTTGGGTGTGTATTAACAAAAAAAAAAAGCAGAGGGAAATACTGGTCTGCAACATCATCTTGTGAGAGTGGAGGGTATAAATTCCAGTGTAACATATCAAATGTAATATCAAAAAGGAGGTGTCATGTAGCATAGTTAGTTAGGGGTGAATATTCAAAAGAACCACATCAGTAGGGAGAGGAGGAGGCAAGGCCAGTTATATAGATCTTCACCTGGAAACTCTTTTTTCCAGCTGGTTAAAGTAGACTCGGGCTCCTGGAAGGAGTCCTAGTGGGGGAGGCAAATGTGGGTCTTCAATGTATATGTCCAAGTGAGGAGGGAATTCACAGTCAGCTGTCTCGAGAGCTACAGTTATCTTCACATACCCTCTCCTGGCTTCAGTGCTCCCTACAGAAGGAAAGGGGAGGGGTCAATGGTACCTGTCTGGATCACAAGATTCGATCACTTAATTTTATACCTTCCCCCAAAGGAGATATCATTACCAGGCTTTGTCCTGAGAGGGGCTGGAAGTGGCTCACACAGAATCCGTGACAGAATCTCAGCTGAGAAAGACACCAAGGAATCGGCGGAGCTAAAGGGTCAGAGAAATACAGTGAGAATGGAAGCATAAGAAAGCAGAGAACAGAGAGGCAGGTCCAAGGACAGAAAAAGTAGCTAAATTATCTGCTAGCACGTCACCTACAAGGTTCTGAAAGATCTCATGCTATGTTGAATCACACACTAAAAGTAACAGGACTTATGGGAAAAACGGGGTTGTGACAGATAACCCAAAACCTATACAACTTTGTAACCAGAGGCCTTACCAAGAAGTACACCAGCAGAATTAAATCTCCACTTGCATTTATTCCTAGAAACCGTCAGTCCATCATCTGCGGCTTTATATGTTGGAGCTCATGCCCCCTCCTTCAAATCATAGGTCCTTGAAAACATTCACTTCTGCCCTGGTCAGTTTGGCTCAGCGGTTAGAGCGTCGGCCTGCGGCCCGGAGAGACCCGGGTTCGGTTCCCGCTAAGGGCACGTACTTCGGTTGCAGTTTGTCTCGGCCCTGGTTGGTCGTGCGGGTGGCAGCCACTCGATGTGTCCCTTCACATCACTCGATGTGTCCCTTCACGTCGATGTTTCTCTCTCTCTCTCTCCCTCCCACTCTATCTGTACAAAAAATGGAAAAATATCCTCGGGTGAGGATAAAAAAAAAAACCCAAAAAATATTCACTTCTAGTAGAGACCAGTTTCATAAAAATTACACCTACAATCCCAGCTGGGTTTTGTTTGTTTGTTTAACACAGGGGGAAATATCTCTGTAGCTTCTTCATCTGCACTTGCAGCTACATCAAAAAGCTTACATGAGGGAAGTATAGTTGTTCTTGAAGCCATAAGCCAGCCACTTCTTATACTAAAGGAAGGCTCTTCTCTATAGATTTTCAACTTTTGTCCTTACTTTTTTTTTTTTTAATGTTTCTTACATTTCCTCTTATTGCTAAGGCTTTTCCTGAATTGTGAGAAAGCCTGCTGACGATCACTTCCAAACAGTAACATGCTGGGGTTGGGGGGAGGGTCAGGTATGAAACAATTTCATCTTACTCTGACATCTTCCTGTAGGAGCTAAATCACATGAAAGACACACGCTGTAGCAGAGAACGGACCATTCACCAAACCTAACCACGGCAGAGGAAGAGAGAGCAGCCCAAACGAGATGGAGAAGCTGGCAGACATTTACTTGCTACTGAGCAGGTCGGTCAGCGAGGATTCAGGCAGTGCCCTATCAATACTTGGCACATCTGGGATGTCCTGGAAGCTCTCAAGTTCCAGGGTCCAATCATCCTGGATAGTGAGGCAGGACGTACAGCCAGCCAACTCCAGAAGACGCTGCGATGTGCAGGATGAACCACTCTCCTCAAACAACATTGGTGTCTGCCAGGAAATGGGGAGACAATGGACTCTGAGTGTGTCCTGGTCCAGAGGAAGGTTCACAACATACTATGACCCAATTTTGTTTTCTCCTTGGAGGCTGGTGAAGGAAGTGACTAGACATGACAATCTTTCGATTTGCTCTAGATCCACCCTTCTGCTAGGAGACCTAGAGAGTGACCAGACACTGGCACTTCCTCTCCAGACCCCAAACCAAAAGAAGCTTTCCGGAGAAGGGTATGATGAAGTAGGGCACTTACGGGAGGACCAGGAGCCACAAGTCGGTACACATGCCCAGGGTGCAAGAACTCGAACCAGCGGACTGAGGAGCCAAGAAAGATGAGGAGAACCTGTGAAGGAGGACAGCAGGGTCTTTGCGGTTCCAGACAGGAGCTAGGGGCACACAGGTCAAGTCCTAGGTCCTTGCAGTCCCAGCTTACCTTCTGATCTTTGTTCTCATCTCCCTTGAGCTCAGGTGGGCCCCAACCAGTCCCCTCCTTCCTCTGGGTACCCCCAAGCCAGCTCCCTGATATGTGAAAACTGAGGGTGGGCTTGGGCACCTCCAGACTGGCTCCTGAGGGGACACAAAAGTTTCTTTTCATCAGTGCCTCCTTGTGGGACAGCAAGAACAGCCGGCTCTGTCCTATGTGGGGACTCTCAGGGAGGGTGGGCTCTGTCTGAGGCGGTGTTGAGGAGGCAGGTGAGTGAAGGGAGGGTCGTAAAGGTCTGGGCACAGGCAGGATAAGGGCATCGGCCAGAAAGAACTGGACATAGACTCTAGGGAGAGATAAAGAATAGTTTTATTAGTGACACAGGCTTTGGGTGTTGTTGGCCCCAGCATTCCAACACCTGCACCAGGCCCTTCCCCTTTTCCTTACAGACTTGGAGTATAGCCACTACCCCAAGAAGCCAACCTGGCCTGTTGCTTCTGGATGAAGCCTGTCATGCTCAGCTCCTTCCAGGAAGGAAAGTTGCTTCTGACATTCCTCTCTATGACCAACTGGAACCTCTCTGCCCGCACCAAGCAGCCTAGAGGAAAGAAGTTTTCTATTTTGGCAAGAGGAGAGAACCATGGAATGGGAAGTGAAGCAGACCACCCTGCGGGTCTTGTTGCCCAACCTAGGCCTGACCTGACCCCTACCTTGGAGGGATGATACCTCCAAGGGAGAAACCATTCCACCCACATGTCCAATCCCACCCCTGGCCTCCTGAGCTGAAAGGCCTGGATTCTACTTTCTCACAAATCCATAACACCTGTCTGTTCCTAGATATAAGGAAACTTTGCTTTCTAAGATTTCCCTGTCTACAAATCTCAAGAGGTCCACTAAGACCATTATTCTTCCAAACTAAGAATGTAGGCAATGGGAGCTGCCATCTGGTGTGTATTTTAGGTGCAATGGACAGAGAAACAATGTTGGGAATTGGATGTCTGGCCAGGGAACCCCTTGTTTCTTTTCTCTACCCGCTAATACCGGTCACCAAACTTCTCCCTAAACTTGTTTAACATATGCCACTTCAGTGTCTCCACAAAATCCCAGCAGGTGCTTCCTCTCAATCCCCCTGTTCTGAGATCCTATGCTCCACCACCACCTTCTCCCCACTTCTGAACTCCACACCTATGAGCCGGGGGTCAGTGAGGGGTTGCGAGTGCTTGTTCAGGAGCAGGCAGGGGAGGGAACCACTTTGGTCCCGAAGTTGCAGACAACCTTTATGAGACGAAGCCACCAGAATCCCAAGTAAAACCTGCAGGGAGATGAAAGCCAAATTATCAAGTATTTATTAAGCATCTATTATATGCCAGGTGCTGTGTTAAATGTTAGCTATAAAGTAAACAAAAAAGACATGGTCTCTGACCTCAAAGAATTTATATTCAAGTGGGGCAGACAGATGTGAAAAACACACACATGCAATCAAACATTTGGTAGTAGGAGAGAAAGTGGTATTCAAATCAAGGTTAGAGAACCTCAGTAGACATTATAAGAAGTTTGGGTTTTATTTTACTTGCACTGGGAAAAACAAGAAAAAGATTTAAGAGAGCTTTGTAATCCCAGTTACATTTTATCTCACTCTTTCTAGTTGCTACAGGGAGGGAGCAGTCTAGTTAGAAGGCTAGTCAGTCAAAATGACAAGAAATGACTATGATAGTGGTAGCAAGGATGGCAAGACGAGGAAGTGCCATGAGCCCTGCTGGAGCCCCACTTACCTGGGCTGGATGGAAGGTGGAGGGGAGGAGACAGAGCCAGGACCAGGCCAGGCGCTGATTGAGTTGGCAACTGGTCAGGTGGGAAACCTCTGGGAAGGGCAGAAGGGTCTTAGGGTCAAAGGAAGCCCTGGCTTTGCACAGCCCTTCCTCTTTCAGGGTAGCCAGAGAGGGGAAGGAGCAAGGAGTCTGCAGCTGAGCATACTGTCAAAAGAGAAGAAAAATCAGATTGGGCATCCAATGTGTCCCCTGTCCGTTCCCCCTCCCCCATACATTAGCTCGGCCATCCATCTTTCCCCCGCATCCTCATACCTTCTGCAGTGGACAGCGATGTGGCTCTTCAAGGATCTCCTTATGTGCATTCCGACTGGGGATGCGGGGTGGGGCTAGAACATCCAGGGTAGGAGCCAGGAGTTGCAGTCCCAGGCTGGGGTTTTCAGGAGAGAAGTGATGCAGGAACTGGCGGTGTCTCAGCACATGGGGACACAGCCTTGGGAAAGAAACTAAGTCACTTCCCCCAAAGACCCTACCTCTTCCAGGATCCTGCTTCCCTTACAAAGGAAGTGTCCTACTCCCACTGCCACTCCAGCCCAGACCCTCATCCTCCTCACTTGCAGGCCAGCTCCTCCAGGGCCTTGGTAACCCACAGGTAGAGAGGAAGTCCTAACTGACGTTCCCATACCAGCTGCTCGTACAGAGAGGCCCCCCAGGCTTGGGGGGAAGACTGAGTCTCAGGCTTCTGACGAGAGAAGCTCCGAAGTAGAACAGCACCACGGAGACAAGGGGCTAGCACTGGCCTTCTTGTCCCTCCACCCACTGACTGGAGGAGGTGAACATCCTGGAGCTGAGGAAAACAGAAAACAGTGAAAAAGCAGAGGTGAAGCCGACTCAATGACCCCACACAAAGTTAGCTGCAGTTTACCACCGCCTGGGTTCCAAGAGAAACCCAATTTCTCCTACACAGGTGATTTCCTTTTATTCTCCATGCCTCACCTTCCATTCCAACACACTGCCCCTGGGGTAAGCATTCATCTCTCATAAGCTCCACTAAGTATTTCTGTGGGCCACTGGGCTCCTGGCTGGCATGGCTTATCTACTCACCAGGCTGCCTGACAGCACTCTGGCCCTCACTACACCTGTACTTCAGCTCCAGCATCTCCTCCTCCAGTTAGAAAGCCCTGTGAAGGAGATGCTCTGGTCCCAAGCCCTCCTCCCTGTCCCAGACTCTACTTTCTGATTTGAGCTCTCAACCAAATAATTTTTAACAAACGCACATGCCTAACCCCCTAATACACACTTATTATTTTTATATTTTTGTTGTAAAGGTTCCCACCCTGGTGCCAAAAAAGACCAGCCTATAAACGTATTAGAAGCTACTGAGAAGCCTCTTTTCGTCACCAGCCCTGATCCCTCACGTACCTCCAGATGGACTCCTGGTCGCATTACCTGCCTGGGGCCATGGAACTGCTGGTAGGAAAGACAAAGCCCTAATTGCCCATCCAGCTCATAGAGGCCAGCAGGCTGATTCAACACGCCAGTGATCTTTCCCTGCAAAGAGGTCAAAGGGTCAGCTGATCCCCATTTCCTTCCTCTTTGGAGACCGATATTTCCTGCCTCTCAAGCTCTAGGATCTCTCCCTTATGCTCACCGTATATGATAAGAGTCTGGAGTCCCGGAGAAGACCTTTTTGCTCCTTCCTCTCTTGGATGTTGCTTGTCCTGGGGAGTGGCTTGGGGTCAACCTCCAAGAGGGGTCTACCCAGCTCCAGTTCCAGGTCCAGTTCTTGCACACATTCTGGTTTCAGCGGCAACAGATGAGAGGTGGGACTAGTCGTCCAAACACGATGTTGGTAACCATGAATCTTGGATACTCGCAGCCCTGTCAGCACATAGGCCCTACCAGGCCAAAGGGCTCGGTGCCAAACCAGCTGGGCAGGGACCTGGCTTGTGCAGAGGCAGGCAACATGGTACATGAGATGCTTCTCACAAAGCTATTGTTCTGTCAGAGTCCCTTTCCATCATGATTTTGACTTCAAAGACCTGTCCTCATGAGCTTTCCTTGCCTCATCTTCCTTGTTTGCCAATTAAATCTTAAGCCATAGAAATTTCAGGATCTCTCCTCTCTCACAAGAGATGCCAAATGTTTCCTAATCCCTTCCCCAAGATACATACCATCCTGAAAACTTCCTTCCAAATACATAAAAAAATTCCATCCAGAAAATTGTTATTTTTGCATTTCCTCTATCCCACCCTGTAACATATATACAATTTCCACTTATTTAATCAATATGCACTGGGTATGTATGTATCCAGTATTAGAATAGATGTTAAGGGAAATACAATAGACTATTCCCTCTTTAACATATTTCAAACCACTGGGGAACACAGACATAAACCCAAGTAATAATATGGAGCCAAGTATGATCAGAGGCACAAAGAGGCTCAGTGGCTGAATGTCGTCCCATGGATTGAGAGGTCCTGATTCGATTCCCAGTCAGGGCACATGTTCGTGTTGTGTGCTCCATCCACAGAGGGGGGCATGCAGCAGCCAGCCGATCAGTGTTTCTCTCTCACATTGATGTTTCTATCTCCCTTCCTTTCTCTCTAAAAAATCAATAAAACATTTAGAAAGAGAGAGACAAAGAATACACATATGCTAAGGTTTTAGAGAAAGGAAGAGAAGGTAACGATAGGTTGGAATGATCAAAGAGGCCAAGTGAAGGAAGTGGAACTTGAAGGACATCCTTGGTTTGTCAAAGGGGGGGGGGCAATTCAAGCAGGAGAGAGAAGGGAAATTCAACATAGAAATGTTCAGAACTTAGGACAAGCAAGGCAATGAAGACTGACCAGAATGGAGAAGAGAGAATGCTCCTGGGAGTTGCAGGAGACAAGATGGGTGAGCCAAGATGAGGAAAAAAACAAAAACAGAAAGAATATGCTAAAGACTTTATTTTACAGGAAAATGAGAACTATCAAAGTAGGAAAATCAAAATAAACACCTGACAGCAAGGCATCATACAGATTGTAGAAGGGTGGTTGCTGAATAAATTTAAGCACAAGGAAAAAAGGGGACTGTTCATAATATAACAATCTTCTAAGGCATGCTCCTCCCATAGGTGTGACAGTACTGCTGCCACACTCAGGGTCTTCAAAACACACTGAATGTCAAGACCCTTGAACTTCAGGCTCTGGCTGCTATAGCTCAGTTGGCTGCTGAAAGGTTGTTGGTTAGAGTCCCAGTCTAGGTACGTGCCCGGGGTTACAGGCATGCAGGAGGCAGCCAATTGATGCTATGCTCTCCCATCAATGTTTTTCTCTCTCTCTCTCTCTCTCTCTCCCTCTTTTCCTCTCTCTCTAAAAATCAGTATAAATATTTTTTAAATAGACACTTGAACTTCAGTCCCCTGTGCTCAACTACACACCTCCATTTCTACTCTAAAACCAGCTAAGTACCATTAATCAGATCCTGGCAGTCACAATTCATCATCAGGTATTGCTAAAACCTCACTTAAGCTTACTGCTTGTGTAAAACAAGCAGTTAATAATGGTTTGACTGAACAAATGAATGAATGAATACTGATGCTTCTGCTCTCCTGCATTCCTCCTATACGGCAAAAATCCTACTTGAGGAAGGCAGACCCATGCCACCCATGCCACCCCAGTGCCAAACACTGATGCTTGACCTTCTCCAGCTGGGCTCCATCACTGCTTATCAATCTCTTATCCCCAACCACCTACCAGCAATTACCCTGAACCTTTACTCCTCTTTCCAGCATTCAGTTCTACATTTTCAAGAAATGACCTCATTCCATCATAGAAGATTCACTGGGGTCATTCAGAGTGACAGTATGTCTCCAATGTTTCCTCAGCAGCCCATAAACACACCAAGATTACTCCTCCCTTGACCTCCCAGGTTTACTCCTAAGCCGACCTCTGCTCCCTTACAGTGTCTTATTCATGTACTTACCATAGCACTATGATCCAAACAGTAACTGCTGACTTACTTACCTGGTTGAGAGTTTCCAGAGACAATAGCCACTGTCTTATTCAATTTGTACTTCTGAACTAACCAAAGAGCCTAGCATTATAGTACATATTCGATAAAGGTTGATTCTTGGTACAGGTGATTCTCTAATCCTGAGTATCTTCCCTTCCCTTTTAGTGATTTAAATCCTGTCCATCCTTCAAAGGCCAAATTGAGACTAAACTCTCATAAGGCTTCACTTAATAACTCTACCTGACCTTCTACAGCAGTTATAAACTATACCACACGTCTTAGAACTTACGTACAGTTTTGTATTATCCTCTGCTCTGCTTATTTATTTTTTTAAAATATGTTTTTATTGATTGAGAGATAGAAACATCAATGGGAGAGAAAAACATCAATCAGTTGCCTTCTGCATGCCTCCTACTAGGGATTGAGCCGGAAACCCGGGCATGTGCCCTGACTGGGAATTGAACCAGGACCTCTCACTCCATGGGACAACGCTCAATCCACTAAGCCACACCACCTGGGTTCTCTGCTTATTTCATAGGTCAATACCATGAAAAATCTACAAGATTACAAACTACCCAAGGGGCTTACCCTACTGTGATCACCCTGAAGAAATTCAAGTACATTTCAGAGATTTCTCCCTTGATATATAATACCTGAATGAGCCAATCGTGCCTTGCAGACTTTTTGAATGATCTCTAGGAAACTTAAAATATTCTAATGTAAAGAAAATACATAAGTGCCTCTTTAACCCAAGAGGAAAAAGCAAGATGAAAAAATTTTTTTTAGATCCTCAGCTGAGGATATTTTTCTATTTATCTTCAGATAGAGTGGAGGAAGGGAGAAAGAGGGGGAGGGAGAGAAACACCGACATTAGAGGGACACATCGATTGCTTGCCTACTACATGACCCCAACCAGGGCTGGGACTAACCAAAAGCGAGGTACATGCCCTTGGCAGGAATCGAACCTGAGACTCATGTCCATGGGCTGATGCTCCAACTGCTGAGCCAAACCAGCCAGGGTGCAAGATGAGAAATCTAAATGGCTTCTAAGAATGTGTAGTTTTAGCATTTGTAGCTCCTTTATATTCTAATCATTATTATTGAAACTCATGACATACACAGAAGGGGTTAAGAATTTTAATAGCGCTGCCCTGGCCAGTGTAGCTCAGTAGGTTGGGCACCCAAAATTTGCCAGTTTGATTCCTGGGACAGGGCAAATGCCTGGCTTATGGGCTGGATCCCCAACGAGGGGGGTGTGCAGGAGGCAGCTGATTGGTGTTTTGCTCTCACATTAATGCTTTTCTCTCTCCCTCTCCCTTCCTCTCTCCCTGAAAAATCAATTAAAATATTTTTTAAAATTCTAATAGTGCTAATAAATGTGTTTCCTTTTTTGTTAATCTTACCTGTGGGTATTTTTTACACTGATTTTTAGAGAAAGTGGAAGGAAGGGAAAGTGGGGGAGGACGAGAGAGAGACATCAATTGGTTGCCTCAGATCAAATCTGTGCCCTTGACCAGAAATCAAACCCAATGGGCCCATGCCCTTGTTTAACCACTGAACCACACAGGCCAGGGCTCAGTTTCCATTTTTGATATGCATGTTAAAAAGCCTATTCATCCTTTAATTGTTCTGAATGCTTTTGGAGCCTTATTCAGGTAATTGTATAAAGTCATACATATAAAAAAATTGGTGTAAAAATTAATTATATTAAAATTGTACCAGTTGATAGAAAGTGTCAACAAGTGTTTTTAAAAAGTGTTAGGTATTGCCCTAGCCAGTTTGCTCAATGGTTAGAGCATCAGCCCATGGACCAGAGAGTCTCAGATTCAATTTTGTCAAGGGTATGTGCTTCGGTTACAGTTTGGTCCCTAGCCCTGATTGGGGTCGTGCAGGAGGTAACCAATCAATGTGTCTCCCTCACATCGATGTCTCTCTCCCTCCCTCCCACTCTGTCTAAAGATAAATGGAAAAGTGTCCTCAGGTGAGAATTAAAAAAAAAAAAAAGTGTTATGTATTCACCCTGACCGGTTTGATTCAGTGGTTAAGAGCACCAGCCTGCAGGCCAAAGAATTGTAGGTTTGATTCCGGTCACGGGTACATACCTCAGTTGAAGGTCCCTGGCCCTGGCTGGGGTCACTGGGAGGCAACCGATTGATGTGTCTCTCTCATATCGATGTTTCTTTCTCTCTCTCTCTCTCTCTCTCTCTCTCTCTCTCTCCCCCTCTCTCCCCCATTCCTCCTTCCCTCCCTCCCACTCTACCTGAAGATAAATGGAAAAATATCCTCAGGTAAGGATTAAAAAAAAAAAGTGTATGTATTCAATGTCTTAATGGTGTTCAGATGAATATTTTTCTTGGGCATCCTTCCAATGCAAAGGAAAAACAGGTGATTCTGGCATGTTTTCAAAATGTCACACACAATAAAATAGTTGTCTACTCAAATGAGTTGCACAGCAGGAAACTCTATTCCCTACCTCTTATATACAGGAATGACATTACCTGGAATTTCCCCTCAACATAAACTATTCCAGAAAACAACTCTCTCCAGCTGTCCTCCTTTCCTACATGGTTCTTCCTAGGATGTTATCTTTCTTATTAAAAGTTCTAATACCCCTCCCACATCTCCACGCCCCTGAGCTGACCCTAATCCTTACCTGTACAATGATAGACACATGGCTGCCAGCTTGGCTGCCAGCTGGAGATAATTCACCAAGAGACAGTATGAAGTAAGCTTTCTTTTGACTTTTCACCAGAGCACTTAATCGAACCAGTTTCCCAGCCAGGTTTGGCTGCATAATTCTGAGCTTGCTACTAAAGAAGGCAGAAAGAAAAGAGGAAAAAATCATTATTTCTCTTCCTTTCCCTTGCAAAGGCCTCCCCTTCCGTGTAAAGAATACTCCAATAGTGATTAAAAATTTCCTTTGTTCCACAGCTATTCCAAAGAGGCCTTACTGTTCCCTTGATTTGGAACATTCCATCACTATTACTCTTAATACCTTTCTCTTTTTCTTTCCACTGACCCACCATTATCCTCCCAGTTTCACAGGGCTTCCTCCTCCCCTAGAGAGGGAAGAATTACCTGTGCCTGAGTAGGCGAGAAGCAGCCTGTGGGTAGAGAACAGGAATAGGGGTAGTAGGGCCAGTACTGACGGTCAAGGGAAAAACTGGCACAGGGTCACCCCAGAGCTCCAAGTGCCCTTCCCCTGAGGAATTCCACCTGGCAGGAGGAAGGTAACTCCAACTGGGGAAGAGAAAGAGATGGCCCAACCAGGAAAGATCCAGATCTATGAGCTAGAAAAGACCAAAAGCAAAGATTAATCAGCATCCCATTCACCTGCCTCCACCTTTGTTCCCTGAGACTTAATTGCCTCACTCCCTACACACCATTCTTGTTAGGATCTGAGGCATCTGACTTCCCCCTTCCTACTCACCTCACAGCCCAAGATACCAGTGTTATCTCTCACATAGAGGCTTCCATTACGGCACTCTCGTTCCGCATCTCCTGATAGGTCTGTTAGTGTCCCTAAAAGTAACAGCCGTTCCCGGGGGATAGGGGTCCCACTTAGTCCAGCCTCTTGGGCCCATGACTGGTATGCAGTACTGCTCCAGGACAGGTGGCTGCAGCATGGGAGGCGCTGGTGGCTCCTGAGGTCCCGTACTGAGACAAAGCTGCAGAAGGAAGGGAACAAAGTCTTGTAAAGTTGTGTCCAAGCCTAGGAAGTTACTCTCAACCCTGACAAATCCCCCAACATCCCAAGGAAAGGTCTATGGTGAACATGGACTAAGGGAGAAGTTTGATTGATTGAAGGGGAAAAAGCTGGAGGAAGGGAGAGAGGGGGAGATGGAAGGAGGAAGACAGGGAGGGAGGGAGGAAGAGAAAAAAACATCAATTTTGTTGTTCCACTTATTTATGCATTTATTGGTTGATTCTTGTATGTGCCCTGACCGGGGATTGAACTCTCAACCTTGACATATAGGGATGATGCTCCAATCAACTAAGCTACCTGACCAGGACAAAAGATCAGCTATTCTTAAAGTGCTGCAACACTGCTGAGTCACTATCAATTGTGAGGTACAGTAAATCATAAATAATGTGATAAATAATAGTTAAATTGGCCTGGCTGGTGTGTTTAAGTGGTTGAGCATCGATCCATGTACTAAGAGGTTGCCTGTTCAATTCCTGGTCAGGGCACATGCCCAGGTTGTGGGCCTGATCCCTAGTGAAGGATATGCAGGAGGCAGCCAATCGACGTTCTCTCTCATCGATGTTTCTCTCTCTCTCTCCCTCTAAAATTAACAAAGAAAAAAATTATAATAATAAATTATCAAAATTGTGATAGATTCACATCTTTATAATATCATTACTACACATACTTGCATCCCCAAGATTCTTAAGTGGAAAAGAAACAGAATAAGGTTACCAAAAAAATCACGATTTGTCCTCATTATAGTCACGAACATCATCCATTTATGAGTACTGAGGAGTGGGAATGCTGTTCTAGATGGCCCACTCCCTTCCACACATGCTTCACACATGCTTCTTTCTTTCCCAAATGGCTCTGGAGCACTCCTGGCCAGTTTGGCTCAGGGGTTAGAGCATCGGCCTATGGACCAGAGAGTCCCGGGTTCAGCTCCCACTAAGGGCATGTACGTCAGTTACAGTTTGTCCCTGGCCCTGGTTGGGGTCGTGTGGGTGGCAACCACTCGATGTGTCTCTCTCATGTTGATGTCTCTCTCTCTCTCTCCACTCAATATATCTCTCTCAATCGATGTTTCTCTTTCTCTCTCTTCCTTCCTCTCTCCCTCCTGCTCTATCTGAAGATAAATGCAAAAATATCCTCAGATGAGGATAAAAAAAACAAAACAAAACCCAAATTACTTTGGAGTAGATAAAAGGCAAAGACAGAAACTAACGTGTTGAGCCCCTGTTATGCACACACTATAATGGGTCTGCACATGCTCGATATTTTTGTTTTTTAAATCCTCACCCAAAGATATTTTTCCATTTATTTTTAGATAGAGTGCAAGGGAGGGGTAGAGAAAGACAGAGAAACACCAATGTGAGAGAGACACATCGATTGGTTGCCTCCTGCATGACCCCAACCAGGGCCAGGGTCCAAACCGCAACTGAGGTACATGCTCTTGATCAAAATCAAACCCACGACTCTGGTCCACGGGCCAACGCTCTAACCATTGAGCAAAACCAGGCACATGCTCAATATTGTACTGAATCTTCACCAAAACCCCTAATAAAACCACCAATGAATAAACACAAAGAGGTTCAGGTACACAGTGAAGTAGGTGGCAAATCTGGATGCGCCTCACTTAGAAGTCCATGTTCTTTCTGTGTTTCCCTGATTCTCTAAAGACCCAGGAAAAAGCATGGAAGAGAGCTGTTTCCTTACCCTTCAGAATAGAAAACAGTAAAAATAGGCGTCACTTTTCCCAGACTCTTTAGTGTCTGAGTTAGGACTAAAGGTGATAACCTCAAATTCTTTGCATTTGTCATTGCTCTCCAAAATTTTTTTAAAAGATTTTTAACTGATTTTTAGAGAGAGGGAAAGAGACAGTGAAACACTGATATGTCAGAGAAACGTTGATATAAGAGGGAAGCATCAATCAGCTGCCTGCACATCCCCTACTGAGGAAGTAGTCCAGAATCTGGGCATGTGCCCTGACCAGGAATCAAACTGGCAACCGTTCTGTGCATGGGACTATGCCCAACCAACTGAACCATACGTGCCAGGACTGCTCTCCAACTTTCAAGGCCTAGCACAGTACTTGGCACACAGCAGGCACTCAATGAAGAATGGAAAAAAAAAGAATAAAATACTTATGTCTTTCAAATAATTTCTATAATATCAATTTTTTTTAATCCAAAATCTGTGGGACACAATGAAAGCAGTCCTAAGAAGGAAGTTCAGAGCAATACAGGCCTACCTCAAGAAATAAGAAAAATTTCTAACAAATTATCTAACCCTACAACTTAAAGAACTAGAAAGAGAACAAAAAGAACAACCCAGAACTAGAAAAAGGAAAGAAATAATAAAGATCACAGTGGAGCCCTGGTCGGTTTGGCTCAGCGGTTAGAGCGTCGGCCTGAGGTCCTGAGAGACCCGGGTTCAGTTCCCGCTAAGGGCATGTACCTTGGTTGCAGTTTGTCCCTGGCCCTGGTTGGTCGCGCGGGTGGCAGCCACTCGATGTGTCCCTTTCACATCGATGTTTCTCTCTCTCTCTCTCCCCCTCCTGCTCTATCTGAACAAAGAATGAAAAAGTGTCCTCGGGTAAGATCACAGGGAAAAAAATGACATGGAGACTAAACAAACAATACAAAAGATCAATGAAACCAAGAGTTGGTTCTTTGAAAAGATAAACAAGGTTGATCAACCTTTAGCCAGACTCACCAATAAACAAACAGAGGGAAACCAAATTATAAAATCAGAAATAAAAGAGGTGTAAGTAACAACTGACATCATAGTAATACAAAGGATTGTAAGAAAATACTATGAACAATTACATGCCAACAAATTCAACAACCTAGGTGAAATGGACAAATTCCTAGAATCGCAGTCTTCCAAAACTCAACAGGGAAGAGTCAGAAAACCTGAACACACCAATAACAACTAAGGAACTAGAAACAGTGATCAAAAAACTCCCAGCAAACAAAAGCCCTGGTCTGGATGGCTTTACAGGGGAGTTTTACCAAACATTTAAAGAAAAATACACACCTATTCACCTCAAACTATTACAAAAAATTCAAGAGGAAGGAGGACTCCCAAGCTCTTTTCATGATGCCAGCATAATCCTAACCCCAAAACCAGATAAAGCAGCGGTTCTCAACCTGTGGGTCATGACTGCTTTGGGGGTCAACAGACCCTTTCACAGGGGTCACCTAAGACATAACAGTAGCAAAGAAAATAAATTTATGGTTGGGGGTCACCACAACATGAGGAACTGTAAAGGGTCACGGCATTAGGAAGGTTGAGAATCACTTAATAAAGATACTACGAAAAAAGAATATTACAGCCCTGGCCGGTTTGGCTCAGCGGTTAGAGCAGTGGCCTGCGGTCTGGAGAGACCCGGGTTCGGTTCCCGCTAAGGGCACGTATCTCGGTTGCGGTTTGTCCCCGGCCCTGGTTGGGTTGTGCGGGTGGCAACCACTCGATGTGTCCCTTTCACGTCGATGTTTCTCTCTCTCTCTCTCTCCCTCCCACTCTATCTGAACAAAATATCGAAAAATGTCCTCGGGTGAGGATAAAAAATAAAATTAAAAAAAAGAAAATTACAGGCCAATATCCCAGATGAACATAGATACCAAAATCCTCAACAAAATTTTAGCAAATCGGATCCAGCAATTTATTTAAAAAATTACAAACCACAACCAAGTGGGATTTATTGCAGGGATGCAAGGCTGGTACAATATTTGCAAATCAATAAATGTGATATAAAACATAAACAAAATGAAAGATAAAAATCATATGATCATATCAACAGATGCTGAAAAAGCATCTGACAAAATCCAGCACCCATTTCTGATAAAAACTCTCAGCAAAGTGGGAATAGAGACCATATATGACAAACCTACAGCCAACATCATACTCAGTGGGCAAAAACTAAAAGCATTTCCCTTAAAAACAGGAACAAGATAGGGATGTCTGCATTCACCACTCTTGTTCAACATGTACTGAAAATCTTAGTCACAGCAATCACAAGAAGAAAAAATAAAAGGCATCTAAATTGGAAAGGAGGCTGTGAAACTGTCATTATTCGCAGATGGCATGATATTATACATAGAAAACCCTAATGACTCCACCAAATACTACTAGATTTATTAAATGAATTCAGCAAAGCAGCAGGACACAAAATCAACATCCAGAAATCAGTGGCATTTTTATACACCAATAATGAATACACAGTAAGAGAAACTAAAAAAAATTAATCCCATTTACCATTGCGACAAAAAAATTAAGATACCTGGGAATAAACTTAACCTAGGACATAAAAGACTTATTCTCAGAAAGCTACAAGACATTGAAAAAGAAATAATGGAAGATAAAAAATTGGAAACATATACCATGTTCATGGATTGGAAGAGTCAACATCATTAAAATGTCCATACTACCCAAAGCAATCTATGGATTCAATGCAATCCCTATTAAAATACCAATGGCATATTTCGCAGGTCTAGGACGAATACTCCAAAAGTTTATATGGAACCAAAAAAGACCCCGAATAGCCACAGCAATCTTGAAAAAGAAGAACAAAGATGGCGGGATCACAATTCCTGATATCAGGTTATATTACAAAGCCACTGTAAACAAAACAGCCTGGTAATGGCACAAGAACAAACATATCAATCAATGGAACAGAACAGAGAACCCAGAAATTGACCCAAGATATTATGCTCAATTAATATTTGACAAAGGAGACAAGAATATACAATGGAGTAAAGACAGTCTCTTCAATAAATGGACAGTACATGCAAAAAAATGAAACTAGACCACCAACTTACACCATACACAAAAATAAACTCAAAATGAACAAAAGACTTCAATGTAACTTGTAAAATCATAAAAATCCTAGAAGAAAAGGTAGGTAGCAAAATCTCACACATCACATGTAGCAGAATTTTCACCTATACATCACCCAGGGCAAGAGATACAAAGAAAAAAATTAATAAATGAAACCACATCAAACTAAAAAGCTTCTGCCTAGCAAAACAAACAAAAACAAACCAGCATCAAAATGAAAAGGGAACCCACTATATGGGAAAACATATTTGCCAATGACACATTGGATAAGGGGTTAATATCCAAAATACAAAGAGTACTCATATAATTCAACAAAAGGAAGAAAAACAATTCAATTTAAAAAAGGGCAGAGGCCAGACCAGTGTGGCTCAGTGCTTGAGCGTTAACCCACGCACCAAGAGGTCGCCAGTTTGATTCCCGGGCAGGGCATATGCTCAGGTTGTGGGTCAAATCTCCAGTGGGGGGCATGCAGGAGGCGGCTGGTCGATGTTCTCTCTCGACTCTCTCTCAAAAATGTCCTAGGGTGAGAATTAAAAAATAATAATAAAATAAATTCTGTTTAAAATACATAAAGAACTGAAGCAAATATGGCAAATGTTAATTTTTTTTTAAAGGGCCAGCCTCAGAGGAGCCCATTTTATTTATTTATTTAATCTTCACCTGAGGACATTTTTGCATTCATCCTCAGATAAAGCGGGAGGGAGAGAGAAACATCGATGTGAGAGAGACACACTGAGTGGTTGCCACCCACATGACTCCAACCGGGGCGGGGACAAACTGCAACTGAGGTACATGCCCTTAGCAGGAACCAAATGCCGGACTCTCTGGTCCACAGGCTGACACTCTGACGGCTGAGCCAAACCAGCTAGGGCTAATTTAAGGTTTTTAAAAGTTGAGTCTTAAGTACCTGGCTAACTACAATGTCAATAAGCACTGTTTAGTTCAGCTCTTTTTAGCAGGCAAGATTTTCTCAATGAAGACAGTAGTATGTTAATTTACATTCTGGTGCACCAGCAATTTTAGTTACCGCTGGTTTATTTATTTGGTTTGTGATTCTTTTCGTTTTTATTCTGAAGCTATACAGTTGAAGTATATTCTTCCCCCTCTATGTAGTTATGAATAACATTTTGTTGTTAATCCTCATTCAAGGATATTTTCCCATTGACTTATTTTTTAGATCGAGTGAAAGGGAGGGAGAAAGGGAGGGAGGGGGAGAGAGAGAGAGAAACATCAATGTCAAAGAGACACATCAATTCGTTGCTTCCCACAGGACCCCAACAGGGGCCAGAGACTGAACCTGCAACCCAGGTACATGCCCTTGTCCAGGAAACAAACCCATGAATGACCCTTCAGTCCACAGGCTGACGCTCTAACCGCTGAGCCAAACCAGCTAGAGCTGAATAACATTAAAAAATTTTTTTTTATTGATTGATTTGAGAAAGAGACCAAAAAAACCCCCAAATCATTGATTTGTTGTTCCACATATTTATGCATTCACTGGCTGCTTCTTCTATGTGCCTTGATCAAAGATTGAACCCACAACCTTGGCATATCAGGATGATGCTCTAACATACTGAGCCACCTGGCCAGGGCTATGAATAAAATTTAATACAGTTGTTTCTCTCAGTATTCCATTTTAGAAATCCTTCCCCATCCTTGTTGATTTTAATCTTTTTAAATTTATTGGGGTAACATTGGTTAATAACATAATAAAATTTTCAGGTGTACAAGATTATAATTCAACATCTGTGTACTCTATTAAATGCTTCCTTTTAATAGTGTCAAATTTCCTTCCATTACTATATATGTGACCCCTTCATCCACTTCACCCAGCCCTTACCCTGTTTCCCTTCTGGTAATCACCATTCTGTTGTCTGCATGAGTTTGTTTTTGTTTTATTTACTTTTTGTTTTATATTCCACATGAGTGAAATCATCCAGTTTTTGTCCTTTTCCGTCTGACTTATTTCACTGAGCATAATACTCTCAAGATCTATTCATGTTGTTGCAAATGGCAATATTTCATCTTTTTTATGGCTGAGGTGTATTGCATTTTCTATGTATGTATATACATCATATCTTCTTTATCCAATCCTCCACTAATGGACACTCAGGTTGTTTCCATGTCTTAACTATTATAATTAATGTTGCAAAGATATATGTTACATATATCTTTATATGTAAGTGTTTTCATATATTTTAGGTAAATACCCAGAAGAGGAATTGCTGGATTATATGGTAGTTCTATTCTTAGTTTTTTGAGAAACCTCCATCCTGTTTTCCATAGTGACTGCACTAATTTACATTCCCACCAACAGTGTACAAGGGTTCCCTTCTCTCCATATCTTCTCCAACACCTGTTATTTACCATTGCTTTATAATGAAGTCCATGGATGAGAAAATTAAACAGATTTTTGAAAATGATGTTTTGCATAACATGGAGTACAATTAAGCTGTCTTCTCAAAGATTTCCTGCCTTTACTAACTGAGACAGATTGCCAGGCTGAGTGAAGTGTTTCCCAAATTATAAGCAGGTGAAGGGAGTGCCAGGGTAAAACTATCCTGCTCTCAAATAAGTTTGGGAAATGACAAATAAAACAAAGCTGAACAGATTTCTACCTTTTTTTATTATTTTTTATTTTTTTAATCCTCGCCTGAGGACATTTTTCAATATTTTGTTCAGATAGAGTAGGAGGGAGAGAGAGAGAGAGAGAGAGAAAGAAACATCGATGTGAAAGGGACACATCGAGTGGTTGCCACCCACACGACCCAACCAGGGCTGGGGATAAACTGCAACTAAGGTACATGCCCTTAGCAGGAACCGAACCCAGGTCTCTCCGGACTGCAGGCTGACGCTCTAACCACTGAGTCAAACCGCCAGGGCTACTTTTTTTTTTTAAAAGATAAATAGCTTCTTGGCCTTTTGGCTAAGATCAAAGTATAGTAGCTTATCAGTTTAATGTCTGATAGGTCCTCTATCCGAGTAGAATATAGTAAACGGATTTTTGGGATTGGGAGATGGAATAGGAGCTTGCTCCATCCACTCCACATATCGACCTGATATTGCAGTACTTCCGGGAACAGTGCAACAAGTAAAAAACATAGCCCAGCCGGTGTGGCTCAGTGGATTGAGTGTTGTCCCATGGACTGAGAGGTCCCCATTCAATTCCAGGTCAGGGCACATGCCTGGGTTTCAGGCCCGATCCCCAGTAGGGGGCATGTGGGAGGCAGCCCATCAATGTTTCTATCTCTTGCTCCCTCTCCTTTCCTTTCTCTCTAAAAAGAAAAAAAAAATCAATAAAAACATATTTTAAAAAAAGATAAATACACAGTGATATGTACACTCACATAATAAAATACCACAGAGCAGTTAAAAAGAATGAGTTAGAGCTATCAACATGAATAAATCTCAGAAGCATAATGTTAAGTACAAAAAGCAAATTGTAAAAGACATATATATATATATATATACACACCATTTATACAAAGTCTAAAGGTATACAAAACTCTACTGTATAGCCAGACCAGTGTGGCTCACTGGTTGAGCGTCTACCCATGCACCAAGAGGTCACCCGTTTGATTCCTGGTCAGGGTACACACCCAGGTCGTGGGCCCAATCCCCAGTGGGGGGCATGCAAGAGGTGGCCAATCAATGTTCTTTCTCATCGATATTTTTTTCTCTCTCTCTCTAAAATCAATAAAGTAAAATAAATTTAAAAACTCTACTGTATATTGATTAGGAATAGCTGCATATATTGTAAAAATATAAAGATATCCACATGAAAAATACACCCTATTTTCAAAATAGTAGATACTTCTATGAGGAGGTTTCTTTTTGCAGGATTTTTCAGAGACTTTAATATGTGTATCATGACTCTCCTAGAATAGTTTGTCATATCCAATGTCTCTCAATTTTATTTAGCCATTGAGCCCTTTTCTTGTGTTACTTTATTAATATTGCCTAGAACAATTCAGGGAATGGTAGTAAACAAAACAACAACAGAAGACATTAAATTCAGATCTTTTTTAAATCCTCACCTGAGGATATTTTTCCATTTATTTTCAGAGTGGGGAGGGCAGGGGAAACATTGATGTGAGAGAGACACATAAATTGGTTGCCTCCCGCATGACTCAGACAAGGGCCGGGGACCAAACAGCAACCGAGGTACATGCCCCTGACCGGAATCAAACCTAAGACTCTTTGGTCCACGGGCCGACGCTCTAACCATTGAGCAAAACCGGCCAGGGAAAACACAACTATCTGCACTTGGTGAATCTGTTTTCTAATACACAAAATTAAATAGTATCAGTTTATTTCCCCACTTTGAGAGTTCTTTCTCCAAATTTTCTTTCAATCTTCTCCTTGTCCTCTCCTTTCCTTTTCTTGTCTCTAAACTTCACTTAAGCCTATTTTGGAGAACTATGGGGAAAGCAAAGCCGCTCAATGACTGAAGTGGGTGTGTTTACTCCCTTTCCTTCCCTTACCAAGTTTCCCTTCATTCTTCTCAGGTCCTTTCTTTTCAACTCCAAACTGACCTTCCCCGTGAATCCCCTATCTCCTTACCTGTAGCTGAGGGGCAGTGTAAAACCCTGCTTCCTTCCCTGAGACAAACAGGTGGTCTTCACACAGTCAATTACCAACTGAGTCAACTGGACATTAGGCTCCTGACCCACTGGACACAGGGTCTCTTGGATGAAAGCCTGTGCAGCCTCAAGCCAGGTTTGCTCCTGAGGAAAAGTGAATCTAGTTAAAACATCTTCATGACAATCCATCCCACCAAGGAAGTTCTGGAAAGAACACAGGAACAGAAAAAAATAAAAACCAAGAGGGCATGTAAATGAAGAAGAAATCTAAAGTTTAGAGCTTAAAGAAACCTTAGAAGTCTTCAGTCCAGCTATACAGTCAACTCAGACAGCGGGCCATCCAGCTTTGGTTTTGCTCTTTCTCTAACAAATCTGCACCAATCTTGAAAGTGCTCAACTGGAATCTATAGTCCTCTGTGAACCCTTCTCTGACCATCCCAAGCAGAATGCTGCTCCCTCCTTGGAGCTCCCACAGCACCTTACATAAACCTCTATTAAGAGCAATGATCCAGCCCTAGCCGGTTTGGCTCAGCGGTTAGAGCATCGGCCTGCGGTCCTGAGAGACCTGGGTTCGGTTCCTGCGAGGGGCGCGTACCTCGGTTGCAGTTTGTCCCCGGCCCTGGTCGGTTGTGCGGGTGGCAGCCACTCGATGTGTTCCTTTCACGTCGATGTTTCTCTCTCTCTCTCTCTGTTCCTCTCTCTCCCTCCCACTCTACCTGAACACAAAAAATGGAAAAATGTCCTCGAATGAGGATTAAAAAAAAAAAAAGAGCAATGATCCAGGGGACCTAAATAGACACCTCTCCAAACAGGACATACAAATGGCCAAGAGACCTATGAAAAAATACTCAATGTCACTAATCATCAGAGACATGCAAATTAAAATGACTATGAGGTATCATCTCACACCTGCCAGAATGGCTGCCATCAACGAATCATCAAAAAAGTGCTGGTGAGGGTGTGGAGAAAAGAGGACTCTAGTACATTGCTGGTAGGAATGCAGACTGGTGCAACCACTATGGAAAACAAATAATTAAAAATGGAACAGCCATTTGACCCAGTGATCCCACTTCTAGGAATATATCCTAAAACACCAATCAGAAAGAATATATGCACCCCTATGTTCACAGCAGCACTATTTACAATAACTAAGATCTGGAAACAACCCAAGTGTCTATCAATAGATGAGTGGATAAAAAAGCTGTAGTACAGCCCAGCTGGTGTGGCTCAGTGGTTGAGCGTCAATTCACGCACCAAGAAGTCACTGGTTCAATTCCCAGACAAGGCACATGCCGGCGTTGAGGGCCAAATCCCCAGTGGGGGGCATGCAGGAGGCAGCCAATCAATGTTTCTCTCTCACATCAATGTTTTAATCTCTCTCTCTTTAAAAAAATCAATGAAAACATATTTTTTTAAAAAGGGACATAGGTAGAGTATAATTTATATTATTCCACTTTTTTTTTTCATCCTCACCTGAGGACACTTGTACATATTTTGTTCAGATAGAATGGGAGGGGGAGAGAGAGAGTGAGAAACATCATGTGAAAGGAACACATTGAGTGGTTGCCACCCACACGACCCAACCAGGGCCAGGGACAAACTGCAACCAAGGTACGTGCCCTTGGTGGGAACCGAACCCGGGTCTCTCTGCACCGCAAGCCGACGCTCTAACCGCTGAGCAAAACTGGCCAGGGCACACTTCTTTTTTTTTTTTATTTTGTTTTCTTTATTGATTTTTAGAGAGAACAGAAGGGAGAGGAAGAGAGAGAAACATTGATTGGCCGCCTCCTGCATGCTCCCTACTGGGGATCTGGCCCACAACCTGGGCATGTGCTCTGACCAGAAATCGAACCGGTGACCTCTTGGTGCATGGGTTGATACCCAACCACTGAGCCACACTGGCTGGGCTATTATTCCAGAGTCTGTGTCAGAGTCTGTATTTTAAATAAGCTCCCCAGACTGATATAGGCTGGTTTGAGAACACTATATATTTTTCTCTCAATGACCTCATCCACTGGATGCCATTGATAGATGCTGATTGTTCCTAAATCTCTACTTCCGCTCTAGTTATATCCATGTGCCTATCAGATTCTCCACCTGGCCAACCTACAGGTACCACAGATGCTCAACACTGAACTTTTCACAAAATCCGCTCCTCTTTTCAGTGTTCACTAACTTAGCAAATACCCTCAACCAAACAGTTCCGAAACCTGGATGTCCTCCTTATCTCCCTTTTTCACTTGCCTTCACCTCTGGTATCTCAACATTGATGCCTAGGTCAGGATCACCCTTCTCTCACTACATTCCCACCACAGCCTTCTAAATGGTACTCTCTAGTCCACTTTCTACACTGCTACCTGAGGAAGTGAAAACACACATCTCCTGCAATCATTTTTTTGCTTAAAATCCTTCATAACTCCCAGTTGTTCTCAGGTTAAAGTCACCGCTTGGCAAGACTCACAAGCCTGTCAGCTCTGACTCCTCCACCACCACTCAATTGAGTTTGAGTTTTTCAAGGACACCTTCTCTATCTCTTGCCTTTAAACATGTTTTTGCCTCCGCCTCGATCCCTCCTTCAGTACTTTTTTGCTCTGCGAACTCTTACCCGCACTTTGAGTCTCAAAAGCTTTTCCTGATTATCAGCGTCAGGGGTCTCCCCCAAGAAACCCACAGTGCACAGTTCGCCATCAGTCTGCTCCTGGCTTCCCACTGGGCTTGATCGAAACGTGTTTAAGGATCACAGCGAGCGCCACGGACGTGAAGGAATAAATTTGCAGAACCAGTGAGAGGGTAGGAGAGGCAATCTCACAGGTTCCCCCTCGCCCGGGCGCGGCCAGCGAAATCAAGGAGGCAAAGAGGCAAGGTGTGGGGAACGGCCAAAGAAAGAAAACCCGGGACAGAAGGGGAAAAGGATGGGGGACGCAGAACAGCACTCACGGAGCCAAGAACCGGAGCTCCGCAAGCAGCCATGACACGCCCGAGGCTCGGGAGGTAAGCAAACCGCCGTCCGCGCGAGTGCTCACGGGAGGGCCGGTCGGTGACGTCACCAGCGGGCGCGTTCTCGGCTCCTCCCCACCCAGAATCCTTAGGACCTCTCTGTGCCACTCCCACCTCTACCCCACACTCGGGCAGCCGGGTTTCCCTTGTAACATTCTGTCTGGCTTCCCTGGGATGGGGGAGCTCAGGGCCTCAGGCACAGCGGGCCTGGTTGGTAACTCACAGCATCTTTAGATTTCCCGGATCTTACTAAGCAGAGAGAAGTGTTTCCTCCTTATTGCAGCCAAAGTATATCATTTAATACATTGCCGTAATTATTGAACTGTTTCCTCCGCTGGGGTGTGAGTACCTAGGAGCTTTATCCTATTTATTCTATTTATCTTTGTGTTCTGGTGCCTAGAACAGTGCTCGTTCCCAAAGGAGTTGAAAAACTTATAGCTACACAAAAAAACTGTATATGGATGTTTATTGAAGCTTTTTTCATAATCGCCAAAACTAGGAAGCAACCAATATGCCTTTCGGTAGGCAAACGGATAAACAATTTGTGTTACTTCCAAATAAGAAATGTTATTCAGCACTAAAAAGAAATGAGCTATTAAATCATGAAAAGATATGGAGGGCCCAGCCAGTGCGGCTCAGTGGATTGAACATTGTCCCATGGACTGAGAAGTCTGGTTTGATTCCTGGTTAGGGCGCCTGTCCAGGTTGCAGGCTAGATCCCCAGTAGAAGGCGTGCAGGAGGCAACCAAGAGAAACAGCCATGGATGTTTCTTTCTCCTTTCCTCTCTCTCTAAAAAAATTCATGAAAACATTTAAAAAAAAGAAGAAGAAAGATATGGAGGAACCTTAAGTGCATATTGCATGGCATTCAGGTAAAGGCAAAACTATACGCAAGACATTCTTTTATCCTCACTCGAGGACATTTTTCCATTTTTTGTTCAGGTAGAGTGGGAGGGAAAGAGAGAGAGAAACATCAACGTGAAGGGACACATCGAGTGGCTGCCACCCACACAACCAACCAGGGCAGGGGACAAACTGCAACCGAGGTACGCGCCCTTAGCGGGAACCAAACCGGGTTTTTCTGGACTGCAGGCTGACGCTCTAACCGCTGAGCCAAACCGGCCAGGGCAAAAAGGCAAAACTATAGAGACAATAAGAAGTGATTGTCAAGGACTGTGGGTAGACAAGGATGAATAGGCAGAGCACAGAGGATTTTTAGAGCAATGAAACTATTCTGTATGATCCTATAGTGATAGCTACAAGTCATTACACATTTGTCCAAACCTATAGAATGTACAATACCAAGATGAACCTAAATGTAAACTATGGATTTGGGGGGATAATGATGTGTCAATGTAGGTTCACCAATTATAATAAATGTACCTCTCTGATAAGGGGTGCTGATAGTGAGAAAGTCTATATGTGTGGGGTGGGAGGAGAAGTACATGGGAAACTCTACTTTCCACTCAGTTTTGCTGGAAACCTAAAACTTCTCTAAAAACCAGTCTATTAAAGAAGTATATATGTATATAAATTTTTTAAAAAGATCAGTGCTTGTTGCTAAATAAGAAGATGATAAATATTTGTGGGTCAAACAATGAAAGCCTCTATTCCCCCTAATTCAATCAACCAACCAATCATTCCCTAGCTTAGTAGGCAGTGGAGTGCACAGAATTCATGCAACTTTATGCCAGGGACTGTTCTGGGCTCTGGGCATACAGTAGTGAAAAAGACAAATAAAAACCCCTGTTTTCATGGAGCTTACATTGTAGGACAAAGAAACTGACAGTAAAAAAAAAAAGTATATATATATATATATAGAACCTTAGCAATAGGTACAATAGAAAGAAGTAGGGAATGCAGGTGGTGGTGTCTCTCTTTTACATAGAGAAGGCTTTACTGAAAAAGTGACTTTATAGTAAAGTCAAGAATTCATATGATGGGGATCAAAGAGAAGGAATGGCCAGTGGGAGCAACAAACACACAGGCCCTGTGGTGGAAAGGCAAGGAAATCAGTGAGGCTGGAGAGGAGGAGAGATTAAACAAGTAAAGTGAGAGAGGGCCATTTAAGGCCTGTATACACTTACAGCTGCTTCAAATAATTTTTGGAGCAAGGTAAAATAAACATTGATCATTACATAGTAAGTATAAATATTGTAGACAATAAGAATCCTCTAGTCATTTAACAGGAAAGCAAGGACTTTAATTCCACAAGTTATGGTATCCTCTAATTCAACTTCACTTTTTTTGGTTATTAATCCTCATCTGAGGATATTTTTTTAAAATTGATTTTTAGAGAAAGTGGAAGGGAGGGAGTGAGGGGGAGAGAGAGAGAGAAGCATGGATGTAAAAGAAACATCTCACATTAATTGGTTGCCTCCTGCATACGCTCCAACTGGGGCCAGGGATTGAACCTGCAACCCAAGTATGTGCCCCTGACCAGGACAGGAACCTGGGACCCTATGGTACATGGACTGATGCTCTAACCACTGAGCAACACTGGTCAGGGCTCAACTTCACTTTTGATGCAAGCCCTCAAAAAAAAAAAAACATACTCAAAAAGAGTCAGGAGGCTTTGTCTAGAAATTAATGACAAGTATTTATTCAAGGGTCTTATTGTTTGCAAACTGTAAACACTGCTAGCCCAAAACTTAGAAGTGTTCCAAAAAAAGAAAGAAAAGTTATGAGTTCTTACAGTAAAAAGAACATTCTTGAGAATTATCAGTTCTGCATTCTTAGCCCTAGGATTGGTCCAGGATGGTATCAGTCAGATGTTAGGTGGTCTGGATGATGTATGCCAAATGGTCTGAAAGTTGGATGCCAGGTCTGGTCATGTCCGGTGGTTTAGAGAATGAATGTTGGCTGGTCTGGAGTCCTACAGTGGGGTAATCAGAGGGTTACCTGCAGGTTTGGTGGGTGTCAAGATGTATGTCCAGGCATTGACACAGTACTGGAAAGTTCAAAAAGTTTAAGTTCCTAGGATGGGTAGAACAAGAATAGAGTCCTTCCTCTTGCCTCAAACTTCATAATGTTAATAATTTTAGCAGCTTGGTTAAAGTGACTCCATTTTATATATTTCCCATCTTCACTCTTTTCTCACCTTTATTTCTTTTTTTTTAAATTAATTTATTTATTTTTGTTACAGATGTTTCTCCTTTTCCCCCACTGATTCCCCCCTCCCTCTCCCTCCCCTCCCTGTCCCCACCTTTGTTGTCCATGACCATTGTTCATACATACATGTATATAAGTTCTGTGGTTTATCTCTTCCCCCCACCCCCTCTTCAGGGGATTGTCAGTCTGTACCCCACCTCCACATCTCTGGGACCACCCCGTTCCTCAGGCTGTTATGTTCATTATATTCCACAAATAAGTGAGATCAAGTGGTATTTGTCTTTCTCTGTTTGGCTTGTTTCGCTTAGGATAATACTTTTCCAGGTCCCTCCATGTCGTCTCAAAGGATAAGAGATCTTTCTTTCTTAAAGCTGCGTAGTACTCCATTGTGTATATGTACCACTGCTTTTTTTATCCATTTGTCTACTGATGGACATTTGGGCTGTTTCCAGATCTTAGCTATTGTAAATAGTGCTGCTACGAACATGGGGGTATATAATTCTTTCTGATTGGTGTTTCAGGCTTCTTAGGGTATATTCCTAGAAGTGGGATCACTGGGTCAAATGGAAGTTCAATTTTTAATTTTTTGAGGTAACACCATATTGTTTTCCTTAGTGGCTGTACCAATCTGCATTCCCACCAGCAGTGTACTAGAGTCCCCTTTTCTCCACACCCTCGCCAACACTTGTTGTTTGATGATTTGTTGATGGCGGCCATTCTGACAGGTGTGAGGTGATACCTCATTGTTTTAATTTGCATTTCTCTGATGATTAGTGATGTTGAGCATTTCTTCATGTCTCTTGGCCATTTGTATGTCCTGTTTGGAGAGGTGTCTATTTAGTTCCTCTGCCCATTTTTTAATTGGGTTCGTTGTTGTCCTTTTGTTGAGTTGTATGAGCACTCTATATATATTGGAAATTAACCCCTTATCTGATATATCATTGGTAATTATGCTCTCCCATACAGTGGGTAGCCTTTCTGTTTTGATGATTGTATCTTTTGCTGTGCAGAAGCTTTTGAGTTTGATGTAGTCCCATGGGTTCATTTTCTCCTTTGTTTCTGTTGCCTTAAGTGATGTATCAGTGAAAATTTTGCTGCGTATTATGTCTGAAATTTTGTTGCCTACATTTTCTTGTAGGATTTTTATGGACTCATGAGTCACATTTAAGTCTTTTATCCATTTGTAGTTTATTCTTGTGTAGGGTGTAAGTTGATGGTCTAGTTTCATTTTTTTTTTTCATGTAGCTGTCCAATTTTCCTCTCACCTCTAATTCTTATTGCATGAACTGGTTATGCACTCTGGTACCAAGCTCTTTATAAAGTGAATCTTTGTTTGCAATTATGTTCCATCATTATGCCAGAGGTGTGTTCCTTCCCTTCCACCAAAATAACAACAAATCCCCCAGAAGTAGCTGAAAGCTCTCTCTCACTCCACTCCAGCCCTCCCCACCCCCTTTATTAGAACATTAGTCAAAGCCTACTTAAAGTCCCAAACCGAATTATTCCTTTTGCTTTCAGTATCTCCTCAACTCTGGAAGAACCCCCTCTATTAAATCCATAAAGATGTGCCCTACCCTGGCCAGTTTGGCTCAGCTGTTCGAATGTCAGCCCAAGGACCAATGAACCTTGGATTGGATTCTGGTCAAGGGCATGTACATTGGTAGCAATTTGTCCCTGGCCCTGGTCTTCCAGGAGTCAACCAGTCGATGTGTCTCTCTCACATCGATGTTTCTTTCTGCCCCCTCCCACTCTATCTGAAGATAAATAGGAAAAAAATAGATATATCCTCAGATGAGGATTAAAAAAAAAAAAAAAAAAAAAAGATGTGCCCTATATCCTGGGATTTACTTTTGATAGTTTATAGAAGGCGGGGT